TGGAGAAGAAACACAGTGCCTCATTCAAAGGAGCAGAACGGTCTCATTTTCAGCTTCTAAAATTGCTCTGTGCAGGTCAATAAGAAAACTTAAGGGAAAACAAGAAAACTTTGGCATTCCTTCTGTTCCAGAGGAAATTATTTTGGCCACAGAAAATGCCAGTGCATTCTACTCCCCTCAATCCCCCCAAACTGTTCAACAGAAACCCAGTGCCCTTCCAGCAGCAGAGCCACAGCCACTCCACACCCCTCCTGGCCACCACCACCTTTGCTGGGTTGAGTCTGCCCAGGATGGTAAAACACACACGTCGTCTTTAATGTGCCACTCTTCTGTATTGTTATTTGGTTTTAAAGCAAGCCAGAGAAGTTATTAATTATGAACCTGATCAGAGCCCACTGGGCTCAATAAAAGGTTTTGCACCGAGTCCAGCTGGACCAGGGCTCCCTGGGGTTATTGCTGTGCTCCAAAACAAGGGTCCTTTGCAACTGCAGGAGAACGCAGGTAGGCTTTTCTGCACGGCAACACCAAACGAGGACCTCCTGTGGGGATGCAGAGATTGTGTCCTGTAGTTTAATTATTTTTCACTTCTGTTTCTTACTCTGTGTCACTTCGTTGATGTCAGTCAATTCGATTTTCTGTCCTAAGCAAGAGGAGAATCAAACCTGAGAAGTCTAATACTGCATGGGCAGAATGACACCGCGTGGTCTTGGCTAGCCAAGGAAAAATTTTGCTATGGGGAAAAGCAGCTTTGAAATCACCCATGAATCTCTCTTTGCATCACCCAGACTGCTCTGGTGCCACCACATACCCCCCTTCTTGTTCTAGCAAGGCAGAGGCAGCTCCACAGACCCTCATCACAGTCTTTACTCCCCTTCACAGCCAGTTTTCAGGTGTTTGCAAGTCGCATTTTCCAAAAAGCCCAACAGCTCCGTTGCCCAAAGGTTTACCAGTGAAGGAGAAGGAGCTGTACAGCACCAGCCTCCAACCCAGGGAATGTCCCAGTGACCTGGGGGGGTGGCGCCCTCTTAGCTAGCCCTTCACCCCCCCAAACCATCCTCACCTTTGATTTCCAGCTTAGTGGCAACACGGCAACAACAGTGCAGGAAGGTAAAGGAGGATCAGCCTGGGTTACCCTCCAAACAGAGGTTAAATGCAAAGATGAGCCTGGATGGCACTGCAGGGAAGGAATGGTGCTGTTTTGGGAAGCAGAGTCGGGGGATTTACCTTCAACTGAAGATCGTGATGATCACAGTTGGAAGAAGAGCAAGATCAAGCAGGGCAAAATATAAAGGGAGAAACTGGCTTTTAATTGACAGCTCCGAGCTCTCCATCCCTGCTTGGGAAGGGGAGGCTTCCAATAAGAATTGATCAGCTTTCGTAAAAATCATACAGCCGGTCTGTCGGGACCCCCACCTGCCGCATCACTTTGTAATTACAAATGATACCTATTTTCCCTGGAAAGATCTGTTTCTAGATGCTAAAAGTTTACCTTGCACCTTACCCGGACCTCATAAAACCCCTCTGGGGTTTTGCTGATGCAAACCCGGAATGCAGTGCCCCGGTTTGCCCTTCTCCTTTCCGGAAAGCCACACGAACCGGCTCTCGAGCAGCGCCCGCAGCTGCCGGGCTCCGCCGTCCCGCCGTCTCCGTTGCCATCTAGTGGCACCGGGGCCACGGTTCCCCCCGGCATCCCCCACCAAAATCCTGACCCACAGCGACTGGTCATGCAAAAGGTCTGGGCCCCCCTGAAAAAAGGGGGTTTTCTTTCTTTTAACGCAATCAAAACACGTCAATCAAGGAGTTTTCTTAGTTTGGGTTTTTTTTCTTCCTCAATTATATTAATTGAAGTATAAAAAGTGAATTATCAGTATTTGCTCCTCTTCTCTACAGCAAAAACGAAGGCTGGGCTGCAGGGGAGGGAGCAGGGGAAGCCCAGATGGTGGGGCTGCGGGGATGGGGACGCTGAGGCTCTTCTGCACAGCCAGGTGTAGAGGAGAGGCCGCAGCAGCAGGGAAAGGGGAGGAAGCTCTACAAAACCATCTGTGTATCACATTCAAAGCTTTTATTTGCTGTCATTTTAAAACCTCCAGGAAGCTTCCAAACAAACTCCTCACTAAAGAACGGCTCATTGACTGCCTGAGTTTTTGTCTACAATAAATAACGTTCAGTTTTTCCTGCTTGGACTCCCTTCTGGGTGCTCATTTATTTCACTTCCCTGTGGCTTTTCCTCAATACCAACCACTGTTTGTTTGTATTCTTTAACAGCATGAAACACCCTTTAAGCAAACCATAGATGACACAGGACTTTGGCCTCATTTACGTAGTGCAAATCTGAGAACTCCATGGCTTTAATAGGGTTGGTCTGTGGATGAAGGAGGGCAGGGAAGGTAATACCTTGACTTCTTCATTCTTCCTCCTCAGCAACTAATAACCTCGTTTTGCCTTCCAAAGCAATTATCCTGTGTCTCAGGAGGAGAGGGTAAGTCAGTAGGAGACACCAGTCCATAGGGTCTCACTGTCAGCTGCTGTCCCACCAGTCAGAGGATGCTGCCTGCAGCTCCTGTATCCCTGAGGGGCTTTATTAACAGTACGATTTAAGCACAAACTTAAATCAACTCTCCTCCTTGGGTGGATTTGCAGACCTTTGGTGACACCACAATGATCTGCAGGGAGGCCTGGACCCCCATGGGGTGGCCCTGACCCCATGTGCAGGTGGCTCTGCAGGATGGGCTCCTCCAGCAGCACGGACCCAGCCCCACCCTGCCAGGGACAGCATCTGGGAAAGGGGGATGACTGATGAAAAACAAGTGCACCAGGACCTGCGAAATACTGATTATATGTCTATGCTTTTGTAGCAATATAATACTTCATATGAGACTGGGAAACATACTTTCAAATATTTTAAGTTACCTGTACACCTACATAACCTGTTTACGGAACAGGAACCCCTTGTTGCTGCATATTTAAATCCATGACTTAGTCCCACAGCAACATAATAAATGCCCAGAATCCGTGAACTTTTCTTTTGCCCTGGAAACAACACACTCAGATAAAGCTCATTTTACAGACACTAGAATTGCATTGCAATATCCAGATATATATATTAAGAAAAACTTCTACTAAAAAAAAACTTTCATAAATACATCATACATCAAATATGTTCCCAAAATACATTCATGCATTTTCCCCCCTTCTAAGATCCCTGCTTGTACCCAAAGCGTCAGTAAGCTGAGAAGGGCAGGGCTTGGAGACAGGCTCATGTTTGCAGGTGGTTCCAAATCCAGGTGAAAGTTGAGAAGAAGCCTTTGGTGTTTGGGTGGTGTCAGGGTTAACTCCTGTATCAGTGGGTCTAATCCTCCCTGCCTGCAAAAACAGAGCTCTCCTGTTTGCTGTGCCCCATCAAAGCTGCACCAGCTGCCCATGTTCAGGCAGCCAAAAACCACCCTCCATCTCACCCTTTGCACTTCTAGTTATTCCAGCAGTTACTGGAGATGCTCAAGTCTCTCCCAGCACTGGACAGTGCCTGGAAAACGAGGGCTTTGGAAGTGGGAAGGTCACTACCTGGCTTTGGTGGAAGGGGATCTGTGAATGGAAGGAGCTGCTTCCTTGATCACCATTGACCTGAAGATCGACCACGCTCCCAGCACCGCTGGCCCTTTGCTAACAAAGGAAACGATGCCCATCCTGTGTCTGTTTATGAACGCATAAATACGCAAAATATACAAAAACATCTACAAAGTAATTCTAAGTAGCAGCTGGCACAAAAGAAGCACCAGTTTTGCAGCTCAGTCCTGTAGGTCCTGTCCCCATGAAGGCAGTTTATAAAGTGTAGGACTCCGAGGGGTGGCCACAGCCCCCCCAGAGCCATACCTGGATGGCGTGGCTGGGCAAACGCAGGGGGACTAAGCACCAACCTGATCTGGGTTGAGAGGGAAGCCAGACATACGCCTGCCCAAAATCCACTTTTCCTCCCCCTGGGAAAGATCCGGTCAATATTGCAAGTGCACATTCAAAGGTCGTTTTGGGAATGTTGCCCTCTCGGCTTGCAAACGGGCCAGTTACAAGTCAGCATCCCCTTTCCACAGGCAGTCTGTCGTTATGGCAAGCTCTCCCTTAACCGAGCAGTCTAAAGACAAATTAAATCCATTCTGACTTTTCTCATCTACCCAAACGCAACATCTTTACAGAAGCATTGCATAGATCTGTATCTCATATCTTCCTGCACCCAACAAACAGCAAGAAGTTCAAGTTTCGCACAGTACATTACAAAAGACATCACCTTAAATGATGCAAGAACAAAAATAATAAAAAATGAAGTGTCACCACGGTGTAAACCCTGCAATGAAATGAAGCAGTGAACAGACAGTGCTCGGCAGTGGCTGCCTGTAGTGTACTGATGGATTTGCCAGACAAGTCTCCTCTCAAACCTATCTCCCATTGCACAGTAATACAAATTTGCATAATTAGGTAACCTGCTCCTAAACAGAAGGAGCGATGCTGTGTGTCACAGGAAGGAGGAGGACACTGTCGGGGCCACCTGCTTTGCATACAGTAGTTTAGGGGCAGTTGTCCTCCTCGTGACAGCGGGGCTCTCTTCAAGGCTTCGGAAGTCTCAACAGAAGTTTTGCTACAGTTGGCTTTACAATTGAGATGTTAGGGACCAGATCCTCCGGTGGTTTAAACCCCACGTGCTCCATTGGAGTTACTGGTGCTTATTTCCACGAGTGGAGAGTGCGGTCCGTGCTTGTCCTAGACACAGAATAAAGCTACAGTAGCCCTTTCTTTAAATAGAATTAAATAACTGCATGTGGCATCAGCACACAATTTTAAATGTGCTTCTGCTGTTAAGAAAATGGCAAGCACACCAGTGGTTAATTAAATTATTTCTCTGGAACTGAAAAAGTGATAATATTACTATTAATTAAAAACCCCCTAGGGACTGCGTAACATCTTCTCGTCATGTTTTGGAGACTGAGACAGTCAATTCCACGCGCACGGCGCTATACATCCCCTTCAGCCCGCAGCGAAGGTTTGTGTGCCTGGAGGTCACAGTTGCCGTTCTGAGATGTATCCGAGCTGCCAGGAGCTGACTCCGGTGGTGGGGGTTTGTAGAGTAAACAGGCGACTAGAAAGAAGGTTGTCCCAAGCACCTGCAGCCATGAAGACACCCCCGTTACTCTCTGCTCCCCCCAAAACCAGACACCTAGCCCTCATCTGGGATGAGATTTGCTGACCAAGCTTTGGGGAGACAATGCTGAAGGCCAATCTGGGCAGCAGACCAGCGCACAGAGCCAGAGGGTGTAAAAATCTGAATTTAGGCAGCCCCATAGCAATGAGTCTATTTGGGAAGCTGTTCAGCCCCACACGGACAGATGTGGGCCAGCACTGCCTTAGCCACTTGCTGGAAGGCTTTTGAAAGCCTCTTTATCACAGCAACTGCCAAACATGACTATCTAGGGCAAGTGCTTGTTTGGGAGCAGTTAAAATGATGGTTTTCAGCTAATAAATAAGAAACACACAGCTCTTATTTTCTAGCAGCGATGGAAAAATGGTTATTTACAGCCTGTCCACAATGCCATCCCTCACTCTCACTAACACACTGCAGTTATATATTTTACTTCATTTCCAGCAAAAAATCACTTTGGTAACTGTTGGGAGGAGATATTTCATATGGCACAACAGAAGCTGTAAGCCTAGAAAGTAATGGGAATTTAAGAGAATGATGGTGCCTGGAGCACCATTACCTGGCGAGAAGCAAACGGAGCTTTTACCTTCCTTGAGAACATTCCTTGTGTGAAGGTCTAATTTGGGTTGGGGGGCAGATCAGGACAACCCGATTTTGTAAAATTCTCTCCCAGGGCAAACCACTGTCTCCTAAAGATCTCCTTGCTCTACCAGAGAGTGCAGTTGACAGGCAGCAATCAATCACCTTGTAGACCAGTCCAGCGATGAGGGTGTATCGGCTCATGGCTGAGTTCTGGTAAATGTAGCAAGAGCCTTGCTCGCCACACTGGTCCTGCCAGAGCAGGCAGGACTTATCAATCATGGACCCAAAGGCAATGGGGCCAGGGATGCCTCCTGCGGGAAGAGAGAGCAGACCTTCACTTTGGGCAGCACCTAGGCACCAGCCTGGCAGGATGCGAGGTGCTTGCAGGAAAGCGTCAGGCTCTGCTGCTACCGTGATGAAGTAAACTCACCCTCCAACATCTACAGCTGTGCCCAGCACCACAAGGTACCCAAAATACACTGAATTTCAAAATTTGGAAAGGATCTTGACCATCTTGACCTATGTGTTGCAAGAGGGCCAAGAGACAAATGCAGGAGCTGCAATGCCTCTGCTCCTTTTGTCTAAAAACAAGGACACATCACCCGGACCTTGCTCTTTGACTCCACCCGCGCTGTTACAGAATCCTTCGTTCAGTTTGCAAACCATATGCAAAGGGAATTAGGTTTTTACCAACGACAGCAAGCAAGAAAAAACATCCTCCTTTCAACAGTGCATGTCCTACCCCCTTCTCATCCAACCCAACGTGTTTTAATCTTAGGTAACAGCTTGGCACATGCTCCACAAAGCCAACGGACCACACCAGTTCCCAGACCCACTCCGTACCATACCTAGTGTTCGTACTACAATCCACTGGATCCCGAGTGCGAATGACCTTTGCCTGTCGGAGACGCACCTGGGGAACAAAAGGGGATTGTTTAAAAACGCTGCCAGGCTGCACAGCACCCCTCGATCCTGCAAGGCCACGTGCTGGGGTCCATCACACTTGGGACCTCCATCCCCTCCAGAGATCCGAGGTTCACTCCAGTGCAATGTTCCCCCACCACTGCTGCCAACTGGGACGCACTTGCCAGTCCCATGTCAGGATAGAGCTGCTAATGCTAAAACTTGCTTTCCCAGCTAGACAGGGAAGGGAATTAGTCCTGATGTCTCCAGGCTGCCAGCAACGAGGTGGTTCCCATCACACCTTCCCCATGCCTTGAGCCAAGAGCGGAGAGGTGGGTATCGGGGCGTCCTGCAGCGCTGGCGGAGGACGAGGCGATCCCGTGCTTACCGCAGAGTGGCGGTCAGGGCAGGAATACTGCTCAGGAAGGTGAAGAGGATCACCACGAACATGAAGAAGAGGAGCAGGGGCCTTCTGGCACAAGACGACGTGCATTTCCCTGCCTCTGCGTCACCAGGGCCAGGCAGGAGGGTTTTGTCAACGCAGCTACACTCGTGATAGACCTGGGAAAGAAAGGCTGATGAGCACTTCGCCAAGGAGAGCATGGTGACAGTCAAAGCTTTAAAAAGGAAGAAGTTCAGGGAGAGGAGGGCAAAGACCATCCAGTTTTGCTCCCAAGCGGAACAAAGCTGACATCAAGCTGCATTCTTGACACACCTCTGTTTCAGAACAGGTTATTAAACAAGAGCAATTAACTTTGCCATGCAGCCCTTGAAAGTTGAATGTCATCATTACTCTTCTTAAACCTTTGCCTGATTCTATGAGCGACACACTGGAAGGATGATCATGTTCACTGAAGACCCGAAATCAGCATTGGGACAGGAATTAGGTGCCTACCAAGCTCCCCGCCTGCCTGGGTGATTTACTCTGGATTTCAGCAGTTTGACCCAGAGTAAGACAAAACTGGTTGGACACACTGAGAGAAGCAAAGCAGGGTGACCTCGGGGTACTTTCTGCCTTCATCCCAGGCAGTGCTGGAGAGCACCCATCCCACACCAGGCTTTTTACACTGGATTTGCAACAAAGCTCAAACCTGCGGACACTTTTGCAGAGTCAGCCAAACTGCTCCAAAGAAGATGTGCCACCACCTTGTCGATACACAGCGCTTTCTGACATACCTTCTTGCCATTCCTGAGGTTTTCAGACACTTTTTTGCAGCCAGCGTGGCAGGGAGAGTAATACATAATGTCATCACTCCCGCAGACAGGGCTGTAGGTCTCCTGCAGACAGCCACACTCGGCGTTGCAGGCTGCTGTCAGGTTTAGGTGGCCACCAGGCAAAGCACTAAGGGAAACACAGGAGCAGTCAGTGGGGAGACACGGAACAGCATTTTCCAGGAGGAAGCAGGTAGAGCAAGAGAAGAGGGGATGGCAGGAGACATGGTGGATCCCCAAGTAACCCAGCCAAGCCTGGGAAGGGTTTCATCTCACTCAATTTTAACCACAACCAGGAATCGTGCCCTGGAGCTCTCTCTTTGCCACAGCTACCAATGGAGTTTAAGTGACCAGCTCACAGGGAGACACCTCTGTTTGGAGAGGAGATTCCCACTTTTAGTCCAGCTTATCCTACTGGATAGAGATGGGGGACCCTGTGAAGGCAACTGAAGAGTGGAGCATCTCACACCCTGGCACTGCTGATCTCCCCTCCCTCGCTAAAGAGGGAGCCTCTTCCATAAACTCCAACTAGATGCAAAAATTCAGACATTTATATTGAGTCTCAACCTCGGTATCTGCCTGCAAGACTGACAAGACATCGTCTTCCATCACCAACACATTAACACATGACTACCACCAGCACCGTGTATTTGGATTGATCCTTCTATTCTGACCAGGGCCACGCAGCACAAGAACAGACAGGATGATTGTCATTACCTTCCCTCGTACATCTGGGTTACTCCTGCCATCGGCATGTTAGGGCAGTGGATAAAAAAAATGAAAATAGCCAGCAGACTTGACACGGTGCAAAGTAAACACAATTTGATGATTCCTGAACAGCGGAGTTTAAATTTATTCACAAGGAATCCTCCCAGGAATGTGCCTCCCCCTCCGGCTGGCACAACCAGATAACCTGAAAAAAAAATAAAGAAAAAAAAACAACCCACAAGCAAGTTTAGAAACGTGAGCAAGGAGTTTTCATGCCTGAATACATTAACTGCAGCGTGTCTGCATGAGAATAACCCCTTGGTTGCCACGTGGCTTCTTAGTGGGAGTTCAGTGGTCTTTGCTATCGCAGGTGGTCCTCCGTAACAGCTCAGGTGATGTGGCACGAGCCCAGAGATCTTAAAACAGACTCTTTGAGGAGCACATCATGAGTATTGATTCTTGTTGAACATCGCTTCTGCAGTGTATGATACAGCAGCTAAGTGAAGATCTTCCCAGTTTCAGGATGCTGACAAAATCTGTCCCCCAGTTCAGACATCCCTCGTTAGAGGAAATGTTTAGTTAATGTTTCCTGGTAGTGCACTAGCAGGAACAGACTACAATTGCTTTGCCTTCCTCTAGAGGGTAACAGATGGCTACAGAAGTGACACATTTCCTCCTGATGTCAGTAGATACAGCTCTGAAAATGCACTTGGTATAGACGTGTTGATGGGAAACGATCCTATCTAATAGCTGAAGACAACGACCGTTCCGTAAAGGAACTGCAAAGAGTGTTTGTCTCCATTCTAAATGAGCTACAGTGCTCTTCTATTTGCAAGCAAAATGGGAAAACATTGCAAAAACCTGGTTTTCTTACCAAAAAAGGTAGCAGCTTCAGAGGCACTTAAACTAAACTGAGACTCCAGGAACTTGGGTCCAAAAGTGGACATCCCAGCAATGAGGGTGGCTTCGGTTGCTCCTGCTAAGCAGAGGAAGATGAAGGTGGGGTTCTTCAGAAGTAGCAGTACTGACCTGGGAAGGACAAATACACTGCAATGGAGTCACTGTGACGTTTTGATTTCAGGTCTGTCCCCCGTCTTCAAATCAGACAAACCCCACGTAAGATGAGACAGCATCCCACCACACTGCACTCCTTCGAAAGAAAAACCTAAAAGACTGCTAACTGCAGTCTGAAAGATCACTGAGCTTCTCCACCTACACTTATCAAGTCCTACCAGCCACGGAAGGATGCTGAGGATACCCTCACCTCTCCCTATTTGCCCACACAGAGTAGATGTCAGTGCTTCGTGGAAATAGTCTCCATTGCCTGTGGGGATCAACAAGTTTGCCCTCAGACTCTGCTTTTATATATAACATCTCACATGTGACAACCTTCTCTGGCTCTTGTTCCTAGTGGGTGTTGTCCTGACTATCTCCAGGTACCTACCAGACGTGCACCCATGTCCTCATGAGAATAACAATCTCTGATAACCGTGGATGTTTTGTGGCTCAGGGGAAATACCAAACAAGCCCTTCTATATGGAGGAAACACCTCCAAGACACCTTATATCCCACTGGAAAACAGAAAACAATCTTTCTCCCACAATCTAAGCAGTTTTACTTAAAGCTTAGCGTACAAGTTGAACAAATACATTGTATTTTCGAGCCACCGGGATTCAGCAGAGCACCACAGATATGCCTGAAAAATTGCCATGTGTCATTTATGTGCAGAAAGATGATCTGGCAACGATTCCATCTCTGAGACACAGAAACACCCTCGGGCACACGGGATGGTCTCAATTACCTCTCACTATTGCGGATATTGGGCTGAGAGGGTTGACGCTGCTTTGCAGGAGGCGTTCTGTAACGAGCTTGAAATTCTGCCACGTGCCTTTCCCCATGCCCAGCCTGGACCAGTACCACTGATCACCCCATTTCTGTGACAGGCACAAACCCACCATCCCGCAGCAGCAGCGATGCTGTGGGATGCTACCTGAATTGAAAAGTGCAGTCACTCAGCACCTGCTGCTTTGGAGGAAGGTGAAATCAGAGAAAAACTACAGTAGTGCAACCGAGTGGGAGACGTGCTGAGGCTCAGCATCAGATTTATGCAGCTTTACCCACATAAAGTGGAGAATTTCATTATACCAAAAGAACAAAGAAGCTGAAAGACAGAAATACCATACATTCTTACACCTTGATTACAGGGGGCTTTATACTAACCATTGTCGACCTATTGAGATTAGTTTAATTTACTAAACTATTTTCCAGGAATGGTCTTTTTGACTGTGCTTTACTTGGAAGCACAAAGCATAATCTCTGAGCGAGAAAACACTCGTGGGCCTCGTGGCTGACGTAGAAAACGTACAATTCCTTCACCTTTTTACAGTTCAAGAGAAAAGAGAGAAGTCGTCCCCTGGCACTAGGGTGATTTCGTGCCTCTTGGCTACAGGTTACAGGTTAGACTTGCAGGTAGGAAAACTCAGAGGACCTCCTTTCAGCACTAAGAGTAAGGATTTACTCAGGTAATGCTTGTAGACAGAAGATGTAGTTGTGAGGAGCTACAGCACATAAAACCTGATGAAAGTCATTCCATTGCTATCAATAGGACTTCAAACACACCCAGAAACCATCTAACTCCTGAATAGTGGAAGGTGTCCTTGCCTATGGCAGAGGAGTTGGAACTAGATGATCTTTAAGGTCCCTTCCAACCCAAACCATTCTATGATTCTAGGACTGTCCTCAGTTCTTGCAGCCAAAGGGATTCCAGGACGCTCATCACCACTTAGGGTGGATGATCTACTTAGCGATATGGTTTAATGGGGATTAGGGATGGTTGGACTCGATGATCTCTAAGGTCTTTTCCAACCTAGAAATCTATGAATCTATGAATCTGCCAAGAGAAGAATCCCACCACCTATAAAAGTCTGATCCTGCAAGTCTTTACTGATACAGGCACATACAGGTACTCTTTCCTCATGTAATGGTCCTGCTGAGTAGGTTGGGACCACCTGTACAATCAGAGCCTGCTCCTGCCCAGGACACCCCAGACTATAACAGAGCACAGCCACAAGCTAATCTGTCATGAATGACAGATGGATATCTATGAGATCTTAAAGCACGTGAATGGGGACTTTTCCAGCACAAAATGACACCTACTGCCACCACCACCAAGGGGACAGACAACAGTGCATAAGTTCCACAGGAATGTAAACCAACCTCCCTTTATAACACCACAAGCTGTAGTAAAGCCACTGAAACCCTACTCTGCCACCTAATCCAAGAGGTATGAGCGGAATATCAACTGTAGCTTCTCATGCTGAAGACCAGGGCTTGACGAGCAGTCAGCGATCCTCACAAACTCGGTTCCGTAGCTCACCAGGACAAAGCCTCCTCTCCTGGCACAGCTCTACGTGTCTTCTGTTTGAATCCCTCTGCACTGACAGCAGGGGTTATTTCATGAGAGCAATCGTACAGAACCAGAGAAAGGAAAATACTGTTTTATCAGGTCATTTCAACCCAAGAATTAAGACAGAAGCCTCTACAGGGCAGAGGATTAAGCTGTCTGGGCTGAATTCCTGCAAGCTCCTGCTCTTAGGCAGCACTGTGAATACAGCAATTCATTAAGCTCGCTTAGAAAGGACCTGATGGTACAGATAGTATTTTATTTCATCAGTATTTCTGCTTATCTTTGTGAGACTCTTACTGTCCATACTGAGAGAATGTGTAGCATCCGATCCCTTACTAAAACAAAAGCAACAGTGTCCTTTGGCCTTGTTCTCCAGCCTGGTCCACATGTCCCACGAGCTGCATGCACAGATGTGATCTCCTCTTTAATGCAAGTTTCCAGAATAGCAACCCTTTAAGGCACTTCCCTTTTATTAATCAAAACCAGGGAACGCAAAAGTCTGTTGGGTTTTTGCTTTCAAACGAAAACCACGCTAAGGTCTGGACTGATCTGAATTATTTGATACGAGTTGCCCACCTTTGGGTATTTGTTCTTCATGAAGGAGGGGTGAAAGAAGATGCTCCCGGAGGAGGACCGCCTCGGCACCTGCCATCAGACAGCCTTCACTGAGAAACAGTGGGAGTTTTGTTCCAGGTAAGCAAGAAAAGCATCAACCACCGAATTTCATCCCTCTCTGCTACCCTGTTTGCATAACCTTATCATTATTTAAATGCAGGTTTTGAATTTAATTTCCGTGCAGAGAGCAAGCCGTGACCTCGGAAAATGGCACCCAGTCAAGAATGCCATTTAATAACAGTATTGAAATCTGTTCAATGTAATATTCCTCATAAAACTGCCTTAACCCCTGGTAAACTTCCACCAAAGTCTCCAAGAATTTCAGACCAACGCGAGCAGTTGCGTTGACACAACACAGAGTGACTGCTGCTGAAAACTCCCGTATCAAGCACCTGCCTGAACCCTCCTCAGCCAGCACCAAGGCAAACTCCACCACTAAAGCTCAGAATTAATTGCTGGCAGTGGTACAGGGTTTGGGAACACTAAACATTTGCCTTTGCACGAGGCAGCCATCACACGCCGATGCAAACTCCTCCCTAAGAATGGTCCTAGGAGAAATAGGAAAAAAGAAGAATCTCCTTATTGACTGTAAGCTCTGAAAGGAATCGAAATCCAGATGTCTCTGCAACGTCCACTGCTTGCACACCAGCTAAACCCAAACTGTAATAAAGCAGCACCTCTTCCCCTGCCCTCTGTTTAGAATCGCAGAATCATTTCGGTTGGAAAGGGTCTTCAAGATCATCGGGTTCCAGCATAAACCTAACACTGCCAAGTCTTCCACTAAACCATGTCCCCAAGCACCACGTCTACACATCTTTTAAATCCCTCCAGGGATGGTGACTCCATTGGTACAAGCCTGTTCCAACGCTTGACAACCCCTTCGGTGAAGAAATTTTTCCTAATATCTAATCTAAACCTCCGCTGGTGCAACTTGAGCCATTTAAATACAACTCAACGCAAAAAAAAAAAAAAAACCATAAAATATTTCAAAGATCCATAGCAAATGTTTCCAGGTTAAAAGACCACGTTTTATTTTGGCCACTCACTTGTTCCCACCCTTTAAACCATTTCCTACCAGACCTCGTGCGGTGCAGGCAAGGTTGCCCACACCACAGAGCCAAGCAGCAGCTCGGGATTAGGCATTGCTGTGCCAGCTTTGCAGCAAAGATAAGAAGTAGTAACACATAAAAGGTGGCTGGAAGATGCAAAGGCAAAAGAAAAAAAAAAGGAAACTAAGAATAAAAGAGAAAAGGAACTGAAAGCTATAGTGCAGGATATCTTGTTCCCCGGATTTGGAACAGAGCTGTAAGAGTCAGGGTTTTGTTTCCTCTCTTTTCTCATTAAAAGGACAAAACACAAACAAAAACAGAGGAAAGGAAGAAAAGCCCCAAGGGGACAGAGAGGAGGAGATGTTGGACAACACCCAGTCGGGCAGGTGAGGCCAGACAAGCAGCCAGGAAGAAATAATGCCGCAGGGGAGAGGGAACGAGACAGCAACGCCTGTGCATCTCCGTCACCTAAAGGCTGGCACCAAGTTGTTCCCAAGAAAGCGTCATCGCTGTGGTTGGAATCGGGCAAAGCCTCATAGCTGGCAGGGTAGAAAGCACGCTCAGTTTGGGCCATCGCTCTCACTTCTGGAGAGGGTTCCCTGAACCTCACGCGTGGGGCGGATTTCTCACCGAGGCAAGTCTTTAACTGTTTTCCCAAAGTCCGGATCCGATGCTTTTTTGTGGCTGCCATCCTTCAGCTGATGAGCCTCTGACACCCTCATGACGATATAGCGCTGGGATCCTGAAAGCGAGAGGCAAACGGCAACGAGGAGGACGTGAGCCACGGGACACGGGTGCCACCGGAGCGCTGGATTTGCAGGTGGAAAACAACGCGACATCCTCCCTCCGCCAACGGCTGCGAGGCAGGAGTGGGGACGGAGGAGGCTGGAAAGCAGCTGGGGGTGAAATCCATGTAGGAATCACAATTTAGACACTGGAAGCTCTTCCTCTGCCCCCGTGCCCCCAGCTCCACGCGTGGATAAGGACGCGAGCCCCGAGGCAAGCGGGAGAGCCGCATGGACTCGGCAGGGCCACGTACCTGGGAGGCGGTGGGGGGACCCCAGGATGGGGGTGGAGATGAGGAGAGAGGATGGG